TTCTTTTAAAAATACGTTAAAATAAGTCAAGCATTTAAAACAAAAATGTTTAATAAGTGTGTTAAATAATCTTTCCGTGCATAAATCATTTAAATAGTCACATGTTTTGGTTACTCGATCTAAAGTATCGATCTAATGTACATTATTACATTTTCTACATATTTCACACGTTCTTTATGAAACAGACAACATAAAATATATTATAGCCGATACCTGAAGTACACGAAATGATGAATGATACTATTTGATGTTTTCAAATTTGTTTGTTTATAATGTACATTTTTAATTCATGTTTGTCATTTGAAACAGTTTTACGGAAAAGAAAGCACATTGAAAATGCATGCAAACCTGTAAAATAGAATATACAGAAGCATGAATTATGACATAAAAAGGCATAATATAAAGTTGAAATGTTTTTTTATGATTTCACAAATACTACATCAAGAGCGCCTTTATAGCAACAAAACGTACACGACCAGGACCTAGTGTGCATCGACCAATCAATCATTCTTCCGGATCATCACTGTCGGACTCGTCTATCACTGGATCTCTAGCTGCATCCTCAATTGAATCCGCCCAGTTTGGAATAACTTTGAGCGGCCCCGCCTCATGTCGCTGGTATGACAAATACCACAGAACACTTGTTATATGTGCACACATTCCAACCACTCGGCTGCCATTTTTGCATGTGCAGTACCATCCAGTTACAAGAATTTCGTCATGTTTAATCCATAACTTGTAGCGTTTGGCTGAAACATGTCGACTCTGTATTTTTGCCGAGACTATGTTTGGCACTTCACCACTTACTAAAATTTCGTATGTGCCATCAGAGCTGCAATGTTCCTGAGTGTAGGAGCGGGCTAGTTTGACTTGGTAAACACCAAGTGTTAACTCCCTGATTTCATCCTCAGTCAATTTCGGGAATGACTGACACGCCTCCGTGGCATCGATGGGGGTCCATCTGTAGGATCTTCGATCTAATCCTATAAAGATAATGAATTCCATGAATTTTAATAACTTGGTTTTTATAAATTATATATATTCTAATACTAGTTAAAAATAATTACCAGTGTCATTAACGAACGTTTGAAGTTCATTGGACGACCTTGCCAAGAGTTGCATTTTAGCAGCTATTTCAATGTCTTTTTCATAAGTTCCACTACTTAGAGGAGGCCTGAATTTGTTGCAAATGGCGCAAATGATCTGCGCATAATCCCCAATACTTGGAATCTGTGTGTTTGGAAGGGTCTTATCTAGCAGCCGCCATGATTTGATTCTACTGTTAGCGGATTCCACCACCCATCTGATCTGTAAATAATGTATTTTTGGGTTAAAGGAAAAAATCTGTAGCTCTCCGAAAAAAATATATGTTGATAGACCGGATAGCTACAGTGCCACCTATTGAAAAAATAACCATATATTTATTGCGCACAAAAAGGGGTGCTCGATTTTATTTCATTAATTCTTCCAAATTCTTACCTCAATTGTAAAGAAATGGAAGATTTAAAGAGTCAAGGAATATGTTAGGAACACACGGTTGGTAATATTTTGAGATGACAGTTTTGAAAACATGGAGAAATAAATCGAGAGCCGAGCGCATTTTTTGTGCGCAATAAAATATTAATATACAGTTCTTTTTTAATGGGTGGCTCTGTAGCTCACCGGTCTATCAATAATTTTTTTCGGAGGGCTACAGATCTGCAGCTAAAAATATGACAAGTATATATAAAGTCATATGTCATACAATTTTTTTTTAATAAAAGATTTTTAAAACTTGAAAAACATTTCACGTTCATATACATGTATTAATAATACCATTACTACAATCGCTCTAGTTTACCTTTGTAACAAGTCGAGAGCAGTTAGCATCCTCGGTTTGTAACTGAGCGGCACCACGTGGCGGGAAAGTTGGCATCTCCATATTGATCCCAAGGTCATGAAGAACATCTCCAGAGTCTCGGAAACCCCGATCCACCACAAAGATATCCCCTTCCTGGGTCCACTCTTTCATTCTCTCTGCGTTGGTCTTGATGATGTGGTTTAAGATGTTGGCATCACTGTTTTTAGTATCTGCGAGATACGGCCCAAGCACAGAGACAATGTACCCAGTGGTCGTCACAACTAACATCAGCTTTACTAGTGGTCTGTGCTTATGGAGGCTAAAGGATCTTCGGGAGAAGGAAAAGTTCTTGCTTTTTTGGACATATATGTAGGTACCGTCAAGAACTAGTATTGCAGGATTCTGTGTTGTTTCTGCGAAGAGCTCTTTGGCCAGGGGTCTTGTATGGTGCTCAGTCACATCTTCCCTACTTATGTGTTGGAATCCTAAGAATTCAGGAACGAATTTTGCCTTCAGGGCTTTGGTGGCCGATTTAATGGCTCTCCTCACCTAATTCATGTATTAGAAATATTAACAATTAATAACATTTAAATAATTAAGAAAACATAGCTTCAATTGAATTTTAAGACTTGAGATAAATCCATTTTGTAATATTTTAATGAGTACAACAATGTGAACATTTTACTGAATACACAGTTTTAAGAAACTTGTCTATGGAAAGCTGTACATGTTTTTACTTAATTTTGTTTTTGTTTTATTGTAGCCTTTATTCTGTTATTACTGCGCTTTTATATGTGTTTGACGTTTCAGAGCAGTTACCAAGTACAAAGGGAATTGTGTATACGAGGGGTTATCAAAAAGTTCGTGGACTGAGGCTATAAAATTAGTTCTTTGTAGTCTGTGCTTTTGAAATTTATATGGAACATAAACCAACACAATTTAAAGAAATCTTGAAAATTTTAGCCTGATATGTTCATTATTTGTCAAATTATTATAAAATGAAAACAACATTATATGATCATCCGGCGCTGTCGTCGTTTATTTTCACGACGTCCGATAACATGGATAACGTCATTGTTTTGTCAATGTCCTCTTCGTCTACCCCATACACTTTTTTGATGAGATTCCCTGGAGCTGAGTAAGGACTTATACCCCCCTTTTTTATATGAATGTCATAAACAGTGTTCTTCAATGAATACAGTATTCCAGATGGATAAATACATTGGGAGAGATGCGCGCCTGATTGGGCACCGTGTAATTCATGGACTGGAGTCTTGGAGTGGAGTTATGGAGTGGAGTTTGGAATCAATTTTTGGAGTCTATTTTTGGAGTCAAGCAAAATTGCGTTTGTTAATAGAAATAGAGATCAGAAGAAACTAGTTTTTTCACTTAAAGCATAAACATTAATAGAACACACACACGTTGAATTAACAATTCAAGAATTGTTTTTAGCTAACAAGCACACAATAATTTTGACTGTGAACAAGTACTCTACCGGTTACCTCTCATATATGTATGCTCTGTTTTGGGGGGTTCATTTAGGTTTTATTTTTTATATAAAAAAAATAATCATTTGTATTGCTTGCATAAATATTAATTACCCCTCTGTATACCCCCAGCTTATTTAGATTAAAGTATCCTGACATTACATAGACTAAAAACAAACGGTCATTCGCCACAGTTTAATCAGCATCTCTGAAACTGTGTGAACAAGCCTGACATTTCATTTAGTCTCAAGAGTAAAAAATTCTGTTAATTATCTATATAGATGTATCTATATATCATTTACCCTTTATTTTTCTAACTCAGCATTTTGAGTTTATCAACCAGATGTGGGTACCAGTAAATGAATTTGACAGTTCACCTATCAATTTGATATTTTAATTACTACAACTCTTCCAGTGTAGGGACTCTCGTAACTTTTGCTTCAATGTAATTATAAAGCTGGTTACGTTATCTTGATTTATGTATATTTTAGCTTCATTCACATCCTGTCCGTGGGTACTGTGTAACTTTCTGTAAATTCCAATTAGTCATAGATTTCATATTTATAATGCTTTGTAATTAAGTGAAATTTTATTAAGTCTTCGGTCAATTCTTGTCAATGTTAGACGCATGGAATAAACTATTGAAATCGCTATGATTAGGTTCAATTTTTGAGTGTAACACTTAGAATAACAATTCCTTGAGATTATGTAACTGAATGATCTTTCATTATTAGTTATTATGTTACCTAAAACAGTGACAGTATATCCTGTTTAATAGTTCAATAATTATGTTCAACATACTTACAATGTATATACAAATGTACCAAATATTTATCAAATTAGAGGTTTATCTTGACAACAGATTATTTTAGAATATTAAAGACAATCATACAAATGTCATTTCTGAAAAAAAAACTGCATAATTATGTTTAAAGAAAATCTCAGACTCCAAAACTTGACTCCAAACTCCACTCCAAACTCCACTCCATAACTCCACTCCAAGACTCCAGTCCATGAATTACACGGTGCCGCCTGATTGCACCGGAATTTTGATTTTTAGAGTTTAATATTACAATACATGATCAACGTCATATTTTACGGGATTGATTTTTCACACCTTGACTGCAAATCGACATTAACTGTGTATCCCTTTTTCCTCTGACTCTATCTTGACCTTAAAAGATGCATTTTTAAACTCTGTAGCCAGTTTCAACATATTTTAGGTCTATACTATTTTTTCTGGGGCAAAATTTTATAGAATGTTGGATACGGAAACCCCTCCTCCCTTTTGGCGTCATTTTTGTAGCCTTCTTTGTTTGGACATTCCATGTAAAACTTACGATAAAACTTCATAGAACTTACAGAATGAAGTGAAAATTTCATATTTTATAGAACAATTGTGTCTCGACACATACCTGAATTAACAGGATTACTGGATGTCAAAAAATAATGTCAAATGCGTTTTCTCAATTACACATAGGTCGAAAAAACGTCGTTTTCTAGGTTGCGCCGCCTAGACATACCATTGCTTACAAAAACATTACTTATTTATGGAAAAATAAAATTAACGAGTAGTAGTTTTTTCTATTGATAGAAAAGATGATGCTAACTAGATATTTTAGAATTTGTTGATGCATCTTGAGCGGTTTTAATTTTATGGCGCTAGTCCACGAACTTTTTGATAACCCCTCGTATGTGATTATAAGTGAAAGTTTTTTTCTGAATAAAGCTTTGAAAAAGATTTAAAAGACTATGTTGGCAGAACAAAATATATCTGGTGCTTTTTCATTGTAAATAGAGTTGCGATGAATTTGTTGCTCAATCCACATCGAAGTTTAACCAAAAGTATGGCTACGCATGTTCTGATACTCCGTGTTGCTGTCTCTCGAAGGTCCTGGTCATTTATATATGACATTATTTCATCAAACTCTGATTTTGACAAGCCTGTGAGTGTTACGTAATCCTCATCCGATAATGCCTGCCGGTGGTCAAAATCAAGTCGATGTTTCGTTCTGTCTATTACAAAGTTCCTTGAATTCTCTAACAAATCTTTGATGCTTGTCCTGCTTAAAGCGACTTCTTCACTTAATGGGGTTATTTTCTCTAAGGCATCTTGTGTAAAATGGTCGGCATCAATGTGTACAGGACAGCATCTAACTCCTGCCGGAACAACGATACCCTTACGGATGAAGGCATCCAATCGTAGATGTGGTGGAACAACAATTATCTTTGGCCCTGGCCGTTTACAAATAAAGCAGTAGGCATGGTATGGCACGCCGATTGGTTCAAAATTATTTTCTGCACAACGATCACGATTTTATACACGAGCTAGAAGAAAAATATACACGAGTAAAATAAAAATGCACGTATCGGTAAAAATTGCACATAGTTTAAAAGATTGTTACACAAACATAACGAGAAATACACGAATCCGAATTTTTTTTACACGATTAAAGGGTTTAATATGCACAAACAAAAATCGAAAATTGCACGAGCAGAGGAAACTAAAAATTACACAAACAATTTTACTGCGCATACAGCTGAGCATATCATTACTATGCACATAGAATATTCATAGTGTTCTTGGTTTTCTGTACTCTTTATCTCTTTGTGTTTGCTAAGCTGAATGTTATCGAGAATGGAAGTTGCTTTTTTACAATCCGATTTCGGATGAAGTGTTTCCATCTGATCTATGCGAGAGTATTTAAAAGCTTTTTGAAAATACTGTTTTTCTAATATTGACCGAGATCAAGGATGTATTATATGATGCGGACAAAAATTGTAACAAGAATGAATCGGTACGTTTGTGCTACAATGCGGGGTAAAAAAAAAAAAGTACCATTGCGTATGATACACTCGACTCCGAACTATAAGTACGATGAAAGTATACAGTACGGCTGACAAGGATCTTGATTTTACAAAATCATTTGGGGAGATTTTTTCCCCATTTCGGAATAGGAAATTAAATATTCAGTTGGCTGGATATATATAATTGTGTACATTTTTAAATTTAAAAAGTGAGGATTACATTAGATGTACACAACGTATTTTTAATGTCAAACATGAAAACATTTTATTTCTATTTACATATGTATCCAAACTTATAAAATATGCGATATCAATTTTGGTTGAATATCTGTAGCCTACTTTTTGTTATGAATTTTTCCATGATATTTCATATTTTCAGTTATAAACTTCGAAATAAAAACAAGATATTTCTTGTAAGCGTTGCCCTCATTCGTAATGGCAATTACTTGATAAATGTTTTCATTTTTAATAAAAAGGACCAGATAACGGGAATATACTTATATACTCTATGCACATGCGCTTTTGTGTTTTGTTAATTAAATTTGTCCAAATGAAATAACAAAACTCTACTCAAATAATCCTGGCTATGGAAAAACACATGATCAGTGGCGGACCTGGCTCGTGGATCGATTGGAGTCCCAATATAAATTTATTTAAGTTTCAAATCGTTGGACCATAATGACACACCAAGACTTTTAAAACATTGTGAATTACTAAATACAGTTACATACAATGCTACATATAAATAAAATGGGAATGGATACTGCAGTTTGATAATAAATAGAAAGAATATAGAACTTGTTTTATCATTCTTGAAAAATGCAAATAAATCATGTTCAAAATAGAGCACAATTTTTGCAAATATTTTCAAATACAACAAATTCTCTTTACATGTAGAATTCGTATTCATAAAATTTTAATAATTTATTATTTCCCAAACACTAAATTTAAGTTTTTTATAATAACACTTTTCAATCCAAATCTATGGCCATTATAACAAGAACATGACTGTATAATCATAAAATGAAATTAATCGGCAAACGGGCCTGTAGAAGTCCCCCCTCCTCCCTACTTTTTTCTGAGTATTATAGACTTTGCAACAGTAAATTTTCCTTATATGCTGGTTGACCCCCTAACCTTCAATTTTTAAATGTTGTTAGGTCGAGCGCAAATTCCAGGATATGGACGGTTAATTACAATATTTATCGTTATAGTTTTAGGTTGAATTGCAATCCTGATTTCGATTGACTACTTCATGTACGCTTAAATTCACAGAAAATAATTTAAGCCAGTAGCATCAGGAGGGGCTTATCCCTCCCCCTTCTCGTTTTCTTTTCTTTGGCAAACATAACATTTTTCTATCGTAAATATCCACTGAAAAGCCTCGTCCCCTTTTTTGTTTGGTAGTTTAAATCTAAGTAATATATGCTTATGTGTTTAGAAAAGAAGGTGGAATATTGAAGGTGCCTCACTACCTCAACGAAATAGGATTTTCGAGTTTGGACACTTCCCACCCATCCCCGCCTTTTTTTTCGCTTGTCATGCAATTATGCTTATCAGGTAATTTGTCAAAAAAAAAAAAATTCTAATCCCCTCCCACTATCAAAAGCGATGCTTTACTGATATTATATGTGTCTGTATATTATAATTTTAAATTGTTTTAACTCCTTTATCATGTTTATATGCACTTTACCTACTCAAAGCAAACTCGATAAAAAACATAATATATTAAGCTTAAATTCACATAACTAAAACGACTACAGTTTACATACAATTTTCTACATTTACATGGATATTTATGAAATCACTACACATTGTTCAAAATTAAAGACTGCATGTTCTACTTTGTCACATACATAGTTATATAAAAAAAAATTAATAATTATATTCGATCGTTTCAAAATAAAACTTAAAGTTGCGCAATTATTTGCCTTATTTTTATTTTTTACTGTTTATTTCCAAAAAGTTTTCTGTCAAATTCCACAACCCAGATGATCGCAACAATGCTTCAAAATCTCTGTATGAATTGCTAGTAATCCTTAATCAAAGGGTATTATGGATGTGTCAAATAACTATAAATCGATTAGCGTACAGGTGTCTTGCATTCCTTCACCAGCAGGGAGGGTTCTCTCTAAATGAAAAGGTCACGCATCCACATCCTCAATTATTACAGACGTACACACAGTGGGTGGTGGAGGAGAAGAGTTTTATTTGTTGTTAACTGTCTTGTATTACATCACATGCTGTTTTTATTAATTTTTATAAAGACCTTTACCATATCAATATTTTACATTTTCAAAAGAAATTGCTATATATAGACAATGATAGAGGAATGACACAATTTAAAAATCTAACAATTAAACCCACAACTGGTAATATGCACCCCGTTTACGTTATTTATACATGTGTAGAATGTTTTTAATCGGAGGTGTTCATATTCCATACCTAAGATTGTTTGTAAATTTATACATGTATAAAACACATTGTACATATTCTTGAGAGTCTAGCGGAATTCCAAAAGACTGAATCCTTTTTAAAAAGATTAAATAAATATTACTAGCACGTTTCTAATTTATAGGTATATGTTTCAAGCATCCAAGCCACCCTGAGCTGTTCTCTAATGAATATTAATGAAATGTGCGCAATGAGGATGCGTCGTATATTATGTCGATGTTGTATTCTCACTCGTGCAGTTTTCGTTTTTACGTTTGTGTAATTTTCTCACTATATCGTGTAAATATTTTGTTGATTGTGTAGTTTCTCTGTAGTTTGTGTAAAATTCAATAACTTTGTGTATACTTTCCTCACTTTGTGTAAGTTTTTACTTACTCGTGTAATTTTTGTTTAAGGTCGTGCAGAAAATAATTTTGAACCAATCGGCGTGCCATAGCATGGCTTTTACTAGTCGTTGGTAGCTCTAAAGAGACAGATGGGGGACTGGAAGGAGGCTGATTTCTGATTTTGGTTTGTTTTGTTGGAGGTTCATATTCATCATGTGTTTGCTCTACTCTAGTATGTTTCAAATGTGACTTCATCTTTTTTTCTTCTTTGTAACATTTTAATCTACATTTGGAACACAGAACATCACCATCTTCTACTGATACCAAAAATCGCCTTGCCAAAAGCCTCACATAATCTTTTTTGATACCAATTCTTTCAGAGGGAACTGTTCGGCGCTTACAAAGACAGCATGGATAATACTTTGGACCATTTCCTGGCATTTTGATTCTAAAACGTAATATGATATACATCTAATGAAGTGATTTTAAAGCGAACAATTGATATTTAATTTCAATTGATCTAATTAATTAAATTGTTGTTAAGAGCTGTTCTTTTATGTATAGTGTTTTACCACATTTGTCAAAATATTTTTTAGGCATAGGGTATTTCTTGCCTTATAAGTCATGGAAATACAGTTTTTGTCTTACATCTCAGCCACATTGCATGTTTTTGAAAGTGCGGGGGGGGGGGGGGGGGTTCAGAAAAATTTTAAAATTTTATTTTTACTTACTTGAAAAAGTTGACGAGCAAATTGCCTAAAGTCAATCATCATAGAGTCGAAATTCCTATTTGGTGTGTGTGGGAGGGGGGTTAGAAGCGAACTTTTTTTCTTTGCCAATTTCGTTCAGTACCAATTATTTTTTACCTACAATGCTACATTTCCCTTCTGTAACAAAAAGTTGTAAAGGGGGGGGGGGCAGCCTTTCAATTAACGTTCTTCATAGCATAAGTAAGATTGGGGAAAAGGACCCACACCTTTGTTGGTACGTGCCTGCAGGCGCGTAGCCAGCATGGAAATGAAGTGTACTCAGAAAACGGTCGGGGGTCTGGGGGCCGCCCTGAGGCCCCCAGTGGGTCCAGGGCAAAGGCCTGGTGGGGGCCCGGGGGCGAAGCCCCCGGAAGCTCCTGGATTTTAAGAAAATTTTCAGTCATTTTCTCGTAAAAGAAATCACGATTATATCACTTTTCTCGAGCAAACACTTAGCTATAAGTTATACTGCTTCCATTGATACTTCGGGAAGAGAACGATAATTTATCAAATTAATTTACGCACATATAGGTATTAGAAAAAAGTTTCCAAGTGTATCAAGATAAAACAGAGTAGCAATTTCAATATCGTTATCATCAGTTGGAGTTTAGATATTACGAAATATAAACGGGGGTGTTGTTGTCTTTTGATTACCTTCATACATGTATTTGATAGCTGAAACGATTCGAGAATGCTTCAATTATAATATAATTCTTTAAATTGGTAACATCAGTAAAAGAAGCTATATTATTATTTATTTTGTTCGCCATAATTTAAATTGTTTAACGACATTTATTCATTACCTCTACGGACATTAAATATCTTGGATAGTCGTCCAAGACCTTTGTAACTTTTTCTTTCGATCAAAGTCCCTTAGATCGCTTTCCTTATCAAATATTTGTCTGGATAATCATGATTACGCGGATTAACAGTTGAACATTTTGGTTCAACAATTCTTTTCCCTCAAGAATGTTGAAGATGTTTTTGGAATTAATTTTATAAAGGACTAAATTTGAATGTGCAGACATGCTGAAAAAATAATTGAATCGAAACAATAAGACGCAAAATAATTTGAAACATGGGTAGTGCCTCTTTTCCCCGAATAAAATTCTCTTTCTTTTTTTCCTTCTTTTCTTTTATCCCTCTTTCTTTCTTTCTTTTTTGGAAAATGATGTGTACGCACTTGCGTACTTGCGTATAGGCAGCTACGCGCCTGGCCTGTAACTTTAATACATTTTTTAAGTATTGTAAGTCTCACTTAGAATAGAGCAATGCTAGATATTTCTTGATACATTTTCTTCTTTTCTTCTCAACACCCTATATATCAATTTACCTTTATCAAACCACACATATTGGTATAGATTGAAGTAAACACAACGTATATTTTCGAAAGATATAATAATTTATTAATGCTCTCACATATATATGCTTATTATCATCCTCCTTTCATTAATAAGTGTAATTGAGTAGTAATTTTTATTTTTACAAAACTAATGCAATCCATTGGTCTATATCAATGACTGCAAACACTGTTGATGGCTGAAAAACACGTGAATTGTTTGTAAATGTTTATATCCTTTCAATTCTTGTCTTGGAGGGTGTTAAAAATCATGAGTCGCATGGCTTGCAAATCGTAAGGTTTTAGACTTATAATACATGTACTAGGCTTACCGTGTGTACCGGTCCTTATTCCTTCAAATATAAATCAATTGAAAGTTTTATTTGCAGAAAACTCGTACTTCTAATCAAACATTATATGATTCATACCATTTGAAATTAAAAATGAACCTTATTGTTTTTGGAATTTGCTAACGAAGATTTTTTTCTTCTTAAAAATGATGCTGCATTATCAAAATATCTACCAACGATTGCTTCTTTAGAATTAAAAAAAAAAAACGTACACCTAGAAAATCCTACTTCGTCGGAATGATCGATTACTATAGATCTATATTCCAATTTAAATTGTTTTCACAAATGTATAAGAGTAATAAACCTGAGCAAGAAAAGAAACGAAGCTAATTTAAGTACAAGTTAGAGTAAAATAAGAAGCTGGCCAAGTGACATTTACAAAAAGTCATGGAAAAAAAGGGGGGTGTATACATGTAGCTACACTCTATCATATTTTTAGTATATTTATATCGATGTAAAAATGCGCTTAGTGTGGACACTGTATGGACGGAGTCTTTTTCGTTTGGACTTACTGCAAAGCTGATGTATACATGTATATAAATCAAAAGCTTAGAATAATTTTAAATTAGATGTTGATAAAACCACAGGCGCTTGACGTTTTTAACCTTTCTATTTATAAATAAAAAAATTCCCTTTTATATTATAGTAGGGAATTTTTTTTATTTATAAATAGAAAGGTTAAAAACGTCAAGCGCTTGTGGATAAAACCATCGGAATTATAATGTAAAATGTTGATATTTATCACTGGTTAAATTCAAGAGGATACCAACATGGTACGTCGATAAAATACATGTATACATAATTAAAATACATGCACTGTGACCTGTATATCTTATTAAACTACAAAGATAAAACCAGGGTTTTCTTTTACATACAACTTTGAATTTTATAAGATTATTTTCAACTGCACTGGATCATTGAAAGGTATTATTAATGTAGAAACGTAGAAAGTCAAAAGAACCTATAGTAATATTCTCTCTCTCTCTCTAATTCGACTTGAAAACTTACCCGCAATGACAAAATGGTTTTACATCTTCTTTTATAAGGAAATATACAGGTCCTTTCTTCCTTTTTCGATCAGCTGCTCTGCTTCATTATGACGTCATTTGTTACATGTGTTACGTCAATTTATGCAGGGTACGGTTAATTTAAGGTAGGATTCTTCTCATATTTCTAATATTTAAAAATTAATGAAATTTTCACAGAATCAAGAAGACAATATCAGTAAGTGATAGTATCAGTGAAATTAAATTTGACCGTTTTATATTAGAGACAAGGTCAGGTCAAGGTCATTATCTTTTTCCTTGACATTAAGAATTAAAAAATACTGTTGCCAATCATGTGATACCTACTTCTACTTCCAAAGTTTAATGATTGTTCTTTTTGCATAAAACATATCACTATATCGGGTCTATAGCATGATATTACCAAATTTTCATAAATAATTTTGCTTAATTTGATATTAGCTAATCCGAATTTTCTCTGTTTTGCTTAATTTTTTAGGATATATTAGTTATTTTCATATGCTTCCTATATTTAACTTTTTCTTATTTTCACATATAATAAAGTAGTCTTATAAATGTACAAAATGATACAAAAACAAAAAGTTTTGATCGTTTACTAAGAGAGAAAAAATACTTTTTATGGATTTTTTGCTCAGATCTGCACTTTGATAGGAAGCGTTTAGAAGCTAACAAAGTTCTAGTTTGTTTGAAAAATCATATTTATTTGATATATTTAGAAAGTTTAGTCCCTCATTATTAATTTAACTTACATTTGAAAATTTCTCAAAGTCCTCAATTGTGTAAAAATTATTCCTAAATTCATTGTTCTATTATAATTTTGAGAAGCAGAAAAGAAGATATTTTCATACGCCACCATTCCGCCAAAAATATAGTCCCTGCTAGTTTTCAAACGCAGTTTACCATTTCTATTTAAAGTTGTACATTTCTGATGAGGAAAGAAAAATATGGTCTTTTAAATTCCTTACACCTCAAAATATGACATATAAGCAAATATACTTTGAATGTTTCATCTAGTCAGAAACCAGAGAAGAATCCTACCTTAATTGAGTTAATAATGATTACACCTGGATTAATTTTTAAATTAAAAAAAATGATATACAGAAAACACTTAAAAAATCATTTATTGTTAGTCCAATGTTCTGAATACACTTTGCTTTACAGCTGTCCATACAATTTATGTTCACTAACAATTAACAACTTATGGAAATCGATCGTCTTGTCAAAGGCTACATACATATACTTGTAAATATATGAAATATTTTTTATCTGATAAATGTAGATCAAATTAAATTTGCTATATGGGATCTTTTAAAAAGTCATACTGAAAAAATATTGTATGTAGTCTGTTGTTATAAAGATGTATTAAAATTCATTTTCTGCATTATCGCACGGTGTATGACGCTGAAATTATCGACCTAAAACGAAAAACTTTAAAAACGGATGTGGCCACAGGCTTGTACAGTATTTTTTCTTTTTGATTTTGAATCTGCATACCTGAATGGTGTTTTCCTGAAAATTTCGCATCTGTACTCAAATGTGGCCAAATAGAAATCTCTGAGTAAACATTAAAAAACCGTTAAATTTATTCAAAATCCGGAAAACATCTCCGGTTTCGGAATTTACAATTTCCAAACGCTCGTGCATTCTGCCAAAAGAAAGTTATTTTTACAAAACAGGTATCCTTAGCAAGTTATTTCGGGAAACAGATGGAAGTTTGACTGTTGCTGATTTTTCAGATCTCGACAGGGCCGCCGCCTTATACGTACTGTACCCAGTTCTTTGACAAATAATGAACATATCAGGCTAAAATTTTCAAGATTTCTTTAAATTGTGTTGGTTTATGTTCCATATAAATTTCAAAAGCACAGACTACAAAGAACTAATTTTATAGCCTCAGTCCACGAACTTTTTGATAACCCCTCGTATACACAATTCCCTTTGTACTTGGTAACTGCTCTGAAACGTCAAACACATATAA